CGCTAATTTGTTCCATTTTCAGACCTTGTCTTTCTTGGAGAGACGTTCAACACATCATCGCCATTTCTTCCGTTAAGGTACTAGGGTGCTTTAAACATTATGCGTGATCCGGAACAAATGTGTAACACTAACTGCACAGTATATTGAAGATGATGTGTTTCTAACTGGGTCGCGCACGAAGTTAGATTAGGAATAGATCCTACGGATGGTAGAGCGAGTGTTTCCTGCCTCTAGCGAGGAGTTGAGCGTAGAGGTACAAAAGAAGTTGCATGTCCACGCAGGAGGTGTTTTTCCACGTACCCGCGTGTTTGGCTTTCTCTAGCTACTCCAGTCTCGTACCCATAGTCCTTTGGCTCCATGGTCAGCGGATGGTCGCGAGGAATATGACGTATCTCTCACGCGGTCCACGCGGTGCTAGAAATCAACGAAACGAAACAAAACGAATGTTTGTAGAAAAGGATGTTAAAAATTTGTCTTCTACAAACCGTATACGCTACACAAACGACATCTTTTTATACAATGGTCTGCTCGTATTTCGTTTCTTTTATAAGCTTTAAGTCGTGGCTATACTCTTCACTGTTATATAACCCCATTCATGACACTCCCTATAAAAGAGAATTACATTTTTTTTTTCAGCACGATGTGGATGATAATGATTATTATACAAATGGGGCAGGATATCACCATAGTCATAAATATGGATTTGGACTTCTGGACTCATGGCGCCTGGTCAACACTGCTAAGGTATAGCGACAGTGCTATTGATGCACATCTTAATCTTGATCAGCAGTAATAGACAAAATAGTGGGTATGTGGCAGTTAATGCAAAACATAGGCTGGTCACATTCGGTAAATCTCTCTCAAATTATCCGTCTTGATTAAAATCCTAAACGGAAAACAACAGGGACGAGTCAAGAAGTGGAAAATACGCCGTATTTTGCCAACGGGCTCGGCCGGAGATAAATATACCAGAGATGTTAACGCCAGATACTACGGCTCAGTGATTCGCAGTCTAGGATTTTGTTAACAGAATAATAGTAAGAACTACATTAACTGTACAGCGTGATAAACATCACTATAAGAAAGTGTCATTCGATTAGACGTATTTGAACATTTTTAGACTCGAGAGTTAGGGTGGGTAATATAATGAGTAATATAATGAACACAGGTCACTACAATATAATGAGTAATATAGTGAACACTGGTTACTACAATATAATGAGTAATATAGTGAACACTGGTCACTACAATATAATGAGTAATATAGTGAACACTGGTTACTACAAGCAAATTCTTCTAACGAGCTTTCTTTTGAAGGGTCACTTTTTATCTGTAGACTAGAACCGCTCTATACAGCATATTTTAATTTGAAAAACCAACCAACCAACAAACAAACATTTACACCAAGGTGAACAATACTGCGTAGTGGTTTTTATCTGAGTTGCCACACCGTCCATGAAAAAAAAGTAGAAGAAAAAAATAACTGAATTGCATTCCAAAAATGAACGTTTGTCTGTAGTAGTGCTATGATGAAAAATTGTTTACATGTTGTCTATAGGTATGGGAAGCAGTTCCATGGATGACATCTTGGTCAACCCCTATCATTCATGTAGGGAAACAAATTCCACCATCAAGCAATCAACTCATAGAAAAATATTACGGTATGTACAGGAATATACTGGACAATTATTGAATGTGGCTGCGTATCATCTGAAGAATTACGAAGATCTAGGAGGGTGTTATCTGCCGAGGCCGTGTCATTAAAAATAATTCCTAGTTTAAAAACAAGCTAAAAAAATGCTTTTCTCCATCGATGTTAAGTTCTTCTTCGATAGTGCATGTTTATCGGCAAGTTTAGCGGATAAAGTGTTGTTCAGTTCTGCAAATATTCCCCAGATAGTAAATGTCGTCCGTTGGGTTGTCATCTTGCCGTTCTTGCTATGTTTTTCTTCTCAGTTAGCCAATAGTTCGCCTATTTCTTCCTCGTGAAGCGAGTGAAATGTTCCGCCATTTTGGACTCTCAACTTCGTCCCCAGGTCTTCTCGGTTAACTGCTCAATAATCTGGCGGTTTTTGCTGCAATTTTTGACGTCATTTTTCACATATCACAATATTTTCAAATTAGAAACGGCGAGATACTTTTAATGAATAATAATAGCGCGTTCCTTCATCACTCTTGGATAATCCGACAGAGCTGTTCATGAGTCCTCGCAATGGAACTAAGCGTCCAACCCGTCAAAAAGCAGAAACGGGCTCGATTCCCCTGAAAACTTTGAGGTATCCGTGCCCCCCTTTGCTTGTAATCATATAATCAGAATCGATATGGATCGCAAGTTGAACAGTCGATAAAAAATGGCTGTGGTTGATTTTCCGAACGAAAATACTGTGATGATGAAAACCCAGGCTTATTTTCGTACCGTAACCCCTTTAATGCTAATTTTGTTTATTTGCAGTTTCGAAAGACAAGGTTACAGAAGTGGTAACTTTAGAACACGTAACAGTTACAGTAAGTATAATGACTTATTTATATAGAGAGATTTAGAGTAACGCTTACGGCAAACGGCAAACGTGAATTTGTACCACGTGACCAAGTTTTCTCTTTACATGTCTTTTACTGTTCTTTTCTCCTGCAAAAAGAAAGTAGTTTCACTTTATCTTAATCCATAAGAGTTGTTTCACACTATTTTTATCCGCTCATTTTTTATTTTGAGACATTCTCAACTTGAGTCTGCAGTTTGCCGTTTGCCGTTTCGTGAAATATGGTCATGGCTGACCACATGTATGGTGTTAATTATTATTATTGGTTGTCAACAATACCTTGATCGCTTCACCTGGAGACACGACTCAATCCTTAACTTCATCGCCAAGTCACTTCAACCCGTAATTAATGTACACTCTTCACTCTCTGCCAATGGTAATGGTTTTCTCAATCCCTCAGTAATTACTGGTGAAAATTATCGTCCAGATCTTCTTTTCCTAATCCAGTCCAAGTGCCTATATGTTCTAGAATGGACAGTTGGTCTCGAGTCTAACCTTAATAACAATGCAGTGCGTGAAAAAGAAAAATATCTGAATCTGATCAAAGAAATTAGTAGAAATTACAAATGTGTGAAATTTGTAAACCTATCCATGGAGCTCCCTTGGCGTTTTCTCCCACAAATGCCCCGCGTTCTTGCACATGATGAATGACATTGGCATTGACAAAAAGCAGCAACATTATATAATAAAAAATGATGGCTAAATAGCTCTTTTACTTATATTCCATTGTTGTCCTTTCTCTGCATGCTTTACTTCATTCTTTTACATTTTCAAACATTTTATAAGTTCTTAACGTATTTTTACACCTTACACATATATGTGCTAATTCTCTTAACTTCTTACTTACTTGAAAATGACCGAAGATCGGCCGAAATGTTGTTTTTACTCCGTGATTTTTACTGTGGTAAGTTTTAAAAAGCCCTTACTTATAAGATTACATCTTTTGTTGTAAAAACAGGAATTGGGGCCCAGACTTAATGCAATTTTGATTTTTTTTTTTGAAATAATTCAATCTCAAGCAGCCGATTGTAAATTGCCTATACGTAGCGAGATTTACAGTTGTACATTTAAAAACACAAATAAAGTTTCCATTATTATTATTATTATTATTATTATTATTATTATTATTATTTATTGTAAATTGCCTATACGTAGCGAGATTTACAGTTGTACATTTAAAAACACAAATAAAGTTTCCATTATTATTATTATTATTATTATTATTATTATTATTATTATTATTATTATTATTATTATTATTATTATTATTTTCGCTAATTCTAGTCATGATAGTCATGTAAATAAAGCTCGTTTTTGTTGAGTTAATCTCTTGTTTCATTTTTTAAGGTGAACCTACAGCACCATCATCGTGGTAATTTAATGGTTAGTTTAGTGTCTGCTGAAGGAACAACGTCCAAACTGGCAACAGCCCGGCAACTCGACAGGTGAATCACACTTCCTATGTTACAGCAGTTTTGAATTGTGTATTGAGCTTTCCTACGCTACGTAATTGATTGACAATTCTCATGTCACTCTCCCGACCAATCAGAAGTGAAACCACAACAATTTACACCCTTTTTTTTTTGCAACTTCCTCGCTAGGATTTTGCTGTTCAAGCGACGGCCGCCTGAATTTGTTTCAGTTTTAATTGACTTCTTGTTCATTCTTCTGTTTTTTGCCTTAGCCAGAGTTTTATTTTTGTTTTTGGTTCGGCGGCTCCGACTGGGTGTCGTGACAACCGCTTCTAACCCGCTTGGTTAAGAAGTGAGTTGAGAATGCGCTCAAAGGACGCGCAAGACGTGAATGAAAAGCTTTGCGGGTGTTTGAAAGCCACTCTCTCCTTTGTCTGTCTTCCAGTTTCCAACAACAAACTCGTGTGGTGGTGCCTTACGATTGATTATTCATCAACAAACTTGAAAATTTGTAGAATATACTATACACTGTAAAGTGGAGCAGGCTTGTACAGTTTAGGCTGGGTAGTTTCCCGGGTTAAAACATTTTTAGTTCCGATAAGCTCGTAAAATGCTGTAATTTCCAGGTGTAGAGCCCCATTTTGTGTTTTTTGAGAATAAAATACCTTCCATGGCCCCAAGTTATCTTGATATTTTAAATTTGCGACCAACGAAAAAGTCGAACAAAACAAACGTGTGCATTTTCCTCTGTCTGTTACTGTTTCCTTCCCTTCACTAATTACCTGCGCAGATCATCAGACGGCTTTGTGGACTGGACATTTTCTACTGTACGATGCTGGGGAGAAAAGCCACAAGGAAAGTGGCAGCTCATAGTTGTCGACAATGGTATGCAATTGATTCGCTTTCTTGTAGTGCAACATTACACTTACTCATTTTCTTTCCTGTTCACTCTAATGGTTTTTATTTTCGACGAATATTATGGTCATCCAGCTATTTTCATTTTGATTGGCGTGTTAAAAAGCTATTAAGTCCAAAATGAACTAATCTATATAGGAAAAAATCTTGCGTCAAAAACATATGGAACAGGGGGAAATAAAACTCAAAATGCGTGTAAGGTTTATTCTATGTTAATTTTTCTCATTACAGGGTTTGATGATAGCCGAGGATACTTAAAAGATTGGAAGCTAACGTTTTATGGATCGTCCATGACTCCTGAAAAAATTCACAAGAAACAGAGGTGTGACACAACAAAACTATGTTTGTTATTTGTAAACTAGTTCTTAATTGTAGTGCTTTTTATTATTTACGTTTTTTAAACCTCGTAACTCAGTGTTGTGTTATTTGATAGCACAGCTACTTTTTATGTGAGGCAGCCATTTATTACACTAACAAGGACTAGCTAATACGGACCGGGGGAACTGGAGAAGAGGGGAGAATTCAAACGGCAGTTATTAACTCAGTCAAAACTCTTAGACTGCGAGCAGTCTCTTATTTTTCTTTGCAAAGTTACTGCAGGCGAAACCTAAGCACGCGAGCGGCAAAGCGGCGAGCCGCGAGAAACAAGGGCGTAAGCCCTAGAAGAAAAACTCTCAGCTGCTTTTTCTTTCGTTTCATGGGATTTTGTTCAACTCTGAAAGCCGAAGTAGGAACATAAAATAATTTTTCAGAATATATTTTCATCTCTCTCCAGTGACTGAGTTTTCTTCTTTTTATAATTTTTCAATACTCCGAAACAAGATAACACTTTCAAAAAACATGAAAAATTCCACACACAAAAAAAATTCAACAACATCGTTGCAGAGCGGCGACTTCAACTTTGAAGAATGATGATAACAGCCTCTTCTTTTGTACATTGCCGCAGTCAAAGTAGAAAATAAATGGTGGGCCAGTTTTCTCTCGGCTTGTTCCTCTTTCCATTCTTGATGAGCTTGTTTTCGTGTTTAGTCTGGCTCACTCTTTCTTGCAGTCTTGCCGAGCTTGTTTTTGTAACGAACGTGCTCGGCTATCTGACTGAAATGAGGAACGTAGAGTGTACAAACTGATTAATAAACGTGGTGCTATGTTTCCAGACTTGTTGAAGAAGCGGCGAGTGGCAAGTACCTCCATAGTGATGACACACCACCGTGCCCTCACAGACCCCCACTCTACACCCCTCAGGACGTGGTTTCCGAGAGGACCCTCAAGGTGTGTCTTATTTTCATTTTATTTCTAAGCGGCAAATACTGCAGATTTCCAGCATAACAACGACGTCAGTTAAGGGCTAAATTAAAAATAAGTCATTTTTGCTTTTGCTAAATACCCTAGTGTGAATCATTGTAAACTTTCGTGATTTTTTAACAAGTCAAGTGAAAGAAGGCCGATCTCACTGGGAAATTGATTGGAACGGCCACCGCAAAAGGGATAAAGCAGCTGAAGTTTGTAGCTCTGACCCTGAGTCAGGGTGTCGTTTATATAATAGAGCACTTTCACACGACGTCACGTCAGTAAATTGGTTTTGTTATGTAAGCTCTTACATGTAAATGAACTACGTTATTGATAGAAAAATTATTGTAATTTGGCAAAACGAGTATACAGGAACACAAAATTCGTTCTCGTTCTTTTTTCAATGTTTTTTCTTCATTTCTTTTTTTATAATGTGTGCTTTACGAATCATCAAACGAAAAAAGTTATTTTCCCACACAGTGACTATGATTCCTAATAATTTTGCTAATGCGTTGTATTTTAGGTTCTGCTTCTGTTTGGAGGCTTCTGTTTTCTTGTGTCCATCTACTTCACTGTTGACGTAATGTTTGATAGCGACGCTGGCGATGAGAAAAGTCCCGATCCGACGAGCGCAGAACCACAAGAGGGGACCCCTCTGTTGTCTAATAAACTGGCAGAAGAGGATCAGATTCGACTAAGGTTAGCATGAAATATTCTTGCTTTCTAAGCAAATTTCATTTCACACATCATAGGAACATCTCATGGGAGTGGTTTCTTTATGTTAGGACTCGGAAACCCGAGATAATCATATCGGAGCTGTCACAGTCGCTCCCTTCGTTTCAATGGTTATAGATATTAAACAAACAATACAAAATGTTGGGTAAAGGAAAATAAAAAGTGGAAGAAATACTTACATTTATAACCCTTTTGTTACCTTTTTCTCTAATAGTCTACTTTAGATGTATCTCTGCACCAATGACCGTTACATTGCTGGTATTTTTCGTTGCTAATCAAGTTGGGGGTTGTCACTTTTGTTAGAGGGGGATGTCAGAAAATTCTGTATGATGTGGTAAGGATATGAAAAAATAATTCCCATTTTGAAAATTGTCCTATGTTCCCCTTTCAGTATACATAATAAATGCAGCCTAAGATTTTTCTATTCTTGTTTATTTAGCCACATCCTAGAGAGAGGCGCTAAGAAAGGAACAACCAACGAAAACCGCACAAAGGAATCTGCGCATTGTTCCACTCCGAGCAAGCACGCTCCTTCCCCGGTGGACGAAAAAAAGCGGGTTGAAGAATTCGAGAAAAGGCTTCGATACGCGATGGAGCAAAGCTTATACTTACAAGCACAACATTTAAGCGCGCTGGACAAGTTTGAGAAAGATCTTAAACAGGCTAAAGAGGAGAGCTTACTCTCTCATGTACTTCACAAGAGTCGCTTGAAAGAACCCACCAGCGAAAAGAGCAAAAAACCACTAAAAGGAATTCTTAAAAAGTCCAAAAGGTAAGAAGTATTTTGTCTCGCCCTTTTCCTCCTGTTCAAAATCGTTGGCAACTTTACACTAGTTTCCCGTTGGATATTGCACTATATTGCACTCTAAAAGTGGAATACTTTCTGTGTATTTTGTGGTGCGGTCTGTTCTCTTTACTATCAAAAGTAGAATTCAAAAATACCTTGCATTTGCACTTCTCGTTTCTTGGTTATTGGACAAAATAGGAGACGCGACTGCGAGCTCGCAAACCTTTTTAGTAAACCTATCGATGTCCCGCTAGTTTTCGCTACGTTCAAAATCATAAATTTGTCCAGCGTGAAAGATGCTTTTCCTGAAGGGCTTCGCACTGGTGTGGTGTATAAATTTTCCTGTTTTGATTGGTACGTTGGTAAACAGCCAACATTTCTCCACACTTGCGCTTTATTATCAAAGCAGTCATCAGTCAAGTGACGTTACATAAAACAGTGCAATGAATTTGAGGGGTCGGATCCTTTAAACCTTCCCCTTCTCCCTACGAAACCTCTTCTGTTTCAATACTTCAAGGGCCCAGTTGTTCGAAAGGTCGATAACGCTATCTACAACATAAATCTTTATCTAGTGGATTGGGCAGTTGGTTTCCCTAATACCGTAAATGTTCTATTAAGCCCCCCCTCTCTTTTACGCCCCCCTCTCATTCTTATAGACTAATAAATGTTGGACTATATTAATTAATCACGACTGTAAAAGTTCGTGTGGACTAATCCGAGTTAGTTTATTAACCAACTATAAGTTCGGATTTGTTTTTGATCCTTGGCTGCATGACTACCACCTTCTTGTACTTGAGCTTTTCCACTTTGTATTCTAGTTCTTTATGGAGAACTGATGCCAGGAACTTTGCTGAATTAAATAAGCCGCCCCCCTCTCAAATAAGCCCCCCGTCTCTATTAAGCCCCCCCCCCCTCAAATGTGTTTGAAATAAATAAGCTCCTGGGGGGGGAGGGATTAATAGAGGATTTTCGTTAGTTATCCACTGGATAGTGATTTATTTATTTCCAACGTTTGAACAACCGAGGCAGAAGCAGTGTCTCAGGATCATGAAGATTTTGGGCTGATCACTTGATATAATGATCTGTTGATACTGACAGTTTCTTTCTTTCTTTTTTTTTTTGCAGTCGGAGCTCAAGATAGCTATGGAGGGATCTACCTCTTGAACTGAAAACCAGCTGGAAACTGAAACTGAAACTGAACCGCACTAACTATTCACAGCACTTTATGACTGTTAAATTTCAGTGTTCTGACATTTCCTAGGTCTTCTATTTGTATTTACTTTTATCCATGCAGAAGAAAAGCCATGGGTCACTAGTACTGAGCTCAAATAAGCGCCTCGTAAATTATAGCATTATGACTTGCTAATATGATAGCAAGCAGGGAGATAGGTTTGCACATCCATAATTATAGCGGTAGCGGTAAAATTCTTTACTTGCCTCCAGCTTTCATTTCTGGCTATTACACCTATTTTATCTCCCTGGCATCTAGTTCAAGATATTAGGCTCCAAATTACAGGGTTCCTGATGTCATTCGAACCGGTGCTTTATTTTTCCAGACAAAAAAAAGTAATAATAAAAATTTGGGAAAAGAAACTGCACGATAGTATATTCAAGGAGCTGATAAATATTTTTGTTGAATTTCTTTGAGCTGTACAGCAGAACTAATTATAACTTCCTTATGACGCAAGTATTCGTTTATTCTTTTTCGTATAGTTAACATAAGTTTATCTTCTAGTTTTTAGTCAGAACATAAAGCAACAAACATTATGTTTTTCAGTCCCGGTACATATTTGTTCGGTACTCTTTTCAAACGTTTATGTTATTTTACAAGTTATTTACGATCACATTTTCCGGTGTTTTCGGCACTGCACGACAACTAACGGCGAACTTTAATTCTCCTATAGAAATAACAGTAAAAGTCAGTAATTTAAGCTTCTAAGTAAAATTGAAATTGCACAGCATCAGTAATAGAGAACCATTTTATTTTATGGTTTTAGACTGATGCCCCGTCCACACGTATCCGAGATTTTTGTATCCGCAAATTTTTTTATGCGGATACAAAAATATCTGCGTCCACACGTAGCGTATACGAATCGTATACGACCGTCCACACGTATCCGATTCGTATCCGGACATCAGTAGTAGCATTGAACACACAACGTTTCTGCTCGCCGCCATTTTGGAAAATCTCGCGCGGAAAAAGACTAGTTCTGATACTGTGACGTCAGCGTATACAAAAATATACGGATACGAGCGTCCACACGTATCCGGATACACAGCGTATACAGAAATTTCCACTCTGGAGAGCGTATACAGAAATCTCCGGA